AAAAAAAAAAAAAAAAAAAAAAAAAAAGAGAAAAAGAGAGAGAAAAGCGAGTGTGGGGGCGTATAATACACCAAAAGAAAGAAAAAAAAACAAGAGAGAGAGAGGTAAATACCTTTTGTATCTGTTGAGCGAGTTCTCTGGTTGGTGCTAGTATAAGAACCTGACAAGCATTTTTACTATAATCTATTTTTTGTAGAGCAGCTATAACAAATGTTGCTGTTTTTCCCGTTCCACTCTGAGCCTGGCCTATTGTATCGTGGCCGTCTATGATGGGCTTTATACCCCTCATTTGTATCGCCGAGGGTTTCTCGAAACCATAAGAATATATTCCTCTTAGAAGTTTTTCGTTAAGGGGTAAGTTATCAAAAGAAGTTATAACTTCATCTTCATAGTCTCCGTCTTGTGCTTGTTGTTCTTGCTGCTGCTGCTGCTGCTGCTGTTGCTTTTCTTCAGCAGCAGCAGATTGCTGCTGCTGCTGCTGCTGCTGCTGCTGCTGTTGATCGCCCTCCATCGTTGATTTAGCTGCTGCTTTATACAAACCCAAGCCAAACGCACTAAATAAACAAAAAAAACAAACACCAACACTAAACCATACACATACAGATGCACGTGGGGCGCATGAGAGGGGTGCTGCAGCTGCTGCTGCTGCTGCTGCAGCAGCAGCTGCTGCTGCTGCTGCTGCAGTAGTGGCTGCTTTGCCAGCCCCTACTAACAACAACCCACACACCCTCATACTAAACCTTAATACTTTTATATCTCTTTTTCTTTTTTTTCTTTTTATATTTATTCATTTCTTTTTCTTTGTTTCTTCTTTTCCTTCTATTTACAAAAAAAACAAAAATATATATCTCACTCTCTATCTCACACGCACTCCCTGCAGCAGCCCCACCACTACTCCTGCTGCTGCTGCTGCTGCTGCTGCTGCTGCTGCTGCTGCTGCTGCTGCACGACAGCCCTCACAGCGTTGGGGTGTATCGGCAGCTGTTTTACTATTTATTATTTTTAATTATATTTATGCATGCAACCTAAAAGTACAGAAATATGTATTCTTTGGAGCTCTGAACAAACCATGGGGCGCTCATTCGCTGCTAGTGCTGCTGCTGCTGCTGCTGCTGCTGCTGCTGCAGCAGCAGCAGCAGCTGCTGCTGCTGCTGCACGTGTCGAGTGCTGCTGTCTCTCTTTGTCTCTCTGCTGCTCTTTGTAGCCCCCAGGGAAACATTTGGGGCTGCATCAGTATGCACCCAGTACACCAAGCAAAACCCGCTGCTGCTGCTGCTGCTGCTGCTGTTGCTGCTGCTGCTGCTGCTGCTGCTGTTGCTGCTGCTGCTGTTG